AAGCAGGGGGGGGGGAGGCTCCCCGCCATCCATCCCCATGGCGACGGCCCTGAGTGAAGCAACTTTCGTCAGATTGAAGAAAATGGATAAAAAAGAATTCTGTGTGTTGAGAAAGCGAAGAAGAAAGTGAACAATTTGCCATTGTAATCGTCCACTCATTTCTCAAAATGAAGTACAAAATTATAAAGTAAGTCTTGTATGTACTTGAAACTTCGTGAAAAATGATAATAAATGATTATCTCTATGATTGTAGAAACATGAGCTGATTCTTTCAATATGGACCATTCTGTATACCTGTAGACAATATCAACAGATGACGTGCTTTGTCTCTCCATTGTATTTTTTCCTTGCACACGATAGCTTGCATAATAGCGTCCAAACTACCTATCGATTTCAAAATTGGATTTTGGTGAAACAACTTCAATTTGACACGAATCATCACTGGTATCTTTTGGCCGGCAGTTGACAGGGTTCTGAAAAACAAATTTTTCAGTAAAATGGCTTTTGAATTATGATTCAGACATATTGCATTTCAACTGATTTTTCAGTAGAACCTGATAAATAGGAATATTCAACATATCAAACGACTTGCCTGACTTTAACAGAACAGGCTGATCATCTTGGTAGAACGAGGACAATAATGACACCACAATTAGGGTATATTTCAAATCGCTTGTTTATAGGACACAGTGTAACCGCTCGTGAATATTTTACCGATACTTTTGCTCACCAGTAGATAGATCATGGGGTACATCAACTATGGCCACCTAGATCTCCAAACTTGAAATCACTGGATTATTTCATTATGAGATATCTCATATGGCTTATTTATGCGACACAGTGTAACCACTTATGAATATCTTACTGATAATTTTGCGCACCAGTGGACAGGTCATGGAGTACCTCAACCATGACCACCTAGATCTCCAGACTCGAACCCTCTGGATTATTCCTTTTGGGGACATCTCAAATTGCTTGTTTATGCGACACGTGAATATCTTACTGATACTTTTGCTCACCAGTGAATAGGTCGTGGGAGACCTCAACCATGAGCACTCAGATCCCCAGATTCGAACCCACCGAATCATTTCTTTCAGGATATCTTAAATCGTTTGTGTATGCAACGTAGTGTAAATGCACGTGAATATCTCACTGATACTTTTGCTCACCAGTGGATAGGCCGTGGGTGACCTCAACCATGGTCGCTTAGATCTTCAGCCTTGAAATCACTGGATTATTTCATTAGGAGATATCTCAAATCGCTTATTTATGCAACAGAGTGTAACCACTTGTGAATATCTTACTGATAATTTCGCGCACCAGTGGACAGGTCATGGAGTACCTCAACCATGGCCACCTTGATCTCCAGACTCGAACCCTCTGGATTATTCTTTTTGGGGACCTCTTAAATCGCTTGTTCATGAGACACGTGAATATCTAACTGATACTTTTGCTCACCAGTGGATAGGTCGTGGACACCCTCAACCATGACCACCTAGATCTCCAAATTCGAACCCCCTGGATCATTTCTTTTGGGGATATCTTAAATTGCTTGTTTATGCGACACGTGAATATTTCACCAGTGGATATGCCGTGGGTGACCTCAACCATGGAAACTTAGATCTCCAGGCTTGAAATCACTGGATTATTTCATTTGGAGATATCATAGAACCCTTATTTATGCGACACACTGTAACCACTTGTGAATATCTTACTGATAATTTTGCGCACTAGTGGATAGGTCATAGAGTACCTCAACCATGGCCACCTAGATCTCCAGACCCGAACCCTCTGGATTATTCCTTTTGGGGACATCTTAAATCGCTTGTTCATGCGACACATGAATATCTCACTGATACCTTTCCTCACAAGTGGATAGGTCGTGGTGGACCTCAACCACGACCACCTAGATGTTCAGATTCGAACCCACTGGATCATTTCTTTTGGGATATTCTAAATCTCTTTTATATGCGACAGAGTGTAACGGCTCGTGAATATCTTACTCATACTTTTGCTCAACAATGAATGTGTCGTTGGTGACCTCAACCATGACCATCTAGATCTCCAGACTCGAACCCACTGGATTATNAACACACATATTCAATTCCTCTATAGAAACAAATCATTTTCCCTCTGCATGGAAACATGCAATTGTAGTCCCTCTGCCAAAATGTGAAAATCCAACTGAATTATCTCATTTGAGGCCAATAAGCAAACTGCCTATCCTATCTAAAGTATTCGAGCGGCACGGTCTAATAGAATATTGATGATTTATCTTCTAGTCGATTGATGGTGGTTGGATTCATGGTTCAGATACTGTCCCGTATGCTGCAAGCCCAAAATTTCCGAAAAATTTGCATGGCATGAGCCAACCGATATGCCGACATACTCAGTAACTTCTCTGATGCTGATTAAACGATTTTTTATAACAATTATCTCCACTTCCTCCAGGGCGAACATCGCCATACACATATCCTCGACCTTCTGTTAAAGGCTTCTTCACTTGTAATTTTTGTTCGACTCAGAGCACATTCACCATATGCCACTGTCAATGAAATCGCTAATCTAACGTACATAGCTCCCAAAATTTGAACGATTATCTGGTTTGTTGATGTGCGGAATCAGCAATGGAAGTCGAGTTTCTCCATGTGAGTGAGTTTGAAATAAATAAAAAGGAGAAACGTTCATAAACAGACCACCAAAAATGCAAAGAACAGACAATAGTAGGCTTATTTGCAGAATTGATTGCGGAAAACATTACGAGAATCATTGTACAATCAATGTATTCCACATAGAGAGATCCCTGATGAAAAAATTAAAATCAAAATGATATTCATTGAAAATACACTTCAAAATTCAATTATCTTTCTTCATATCTCATAACATTTTTCTAACTATCCTTATCATGAACAAATTTTCAAATTCCCTTTCATAAAGACTGCGGATTAAACGGTTATCTAACTTAAATTATTCTTCACTACGAGATCTCGCAATTTTTTCCTCAGTCAGATGTAACAACAATCATTATTTGTTTAAAAACACAATTGCTATCGAGAGGGGTCGACGGTGCGGAGACAATGCTTAATAAATATTTATTCTTGATTAAATGTAATTAACCCTTTCTGGAGTTGAAAACATCATTCACGAAATAGTTGTGATTTAATTCGTGTGTTATGGACCACTATGAAAAAGCGACAAGGCAAAAGAATCCACGGGAAACTGCTAATTTATTCTCCAAATTAACTTTCTTGTAAGTATTTTGAATGTTGATTTGACGTTGATTATATAATCAAGTGTAATTCATCCAATGAGAGATGTTTATATAGTACAATGGTATAAACGAGCTACTATTTCCTCCTTCATACAAAATCTGATACTTTCTTCCTGTAAGTTATCTGCAGTTCCATCTGAGAATGTGAACTTTTGTATCATACTTTGCTGATAGGCGTCAGTGTGTTATATTCAATGGCTTCAAGTCTGTGGAATATTCAGGTACCCCGGATGTTCCACAAGGAAGCAACCAAGGTCCACTTGTCTTTAACAACTTCATAAATGACACAGTTGAGGTCATTGACGTCAACACCAATACCAAAATGTGAACAGATTTCCAATATGTCTGCGAATAAAGAAGATATAGGCAAAAAACTAATTTGGGATATTTTGGTATTTCCTGTATATCTCTAGAACCAAAAGAGCTATATTCGATTTCTTTACATCATCTAATAGGTCTCTAAAACACACAACTTTGACACAATTTAACCGACACTCTATCTCTTATCGTTTACGAGATCCCCATGTACAGAAACGAATTTGAATAGCCCTGTATATGATGATAGACCATCCTTTACAAACCACGTAAAAAATATAAATAAATCAGCAAACCGTATTTTAGGCTTCATAGTAAGACAAACATCGCATATTTTCAATATAGAAGCTATAAAGATTTTGTACAATACACTAGTCAGATCGAAACTTGAATTCGGATCAGAAATTTTTGTACTACGAAAAATTCATGAATAAGGCCTTGTAGGCTTGTTTGAATAATGAAATAAATGGATAAATGTTCGATAGTCCAACTTGAATATTACTATCCACAGAGACGTGTGTAGGAAGGAAAATGTCGCAATTCGATCACAATCCTATTGAGTTGTTGGCAAATTGATCATTGACAAAGACAATTCCATCCATTTGTTTGCATAATTTTTTGTTTAAGATATACGGCACGTCTCTTCGGTAAAGATTTGGAGGAGAGAAACATATACGAAGTTTTGAAATGCTTTCAATCAAAAAAATGTGGCGACAAACTGGAAAAGGCTTGGGCCACTGAAAATACATTGGAAAATACTTCTCCATCTATATATAGACTACTATGGCGAAGATTCGGCTGGAGATATCTCCTAATCGGTTTTGTCGACTTGGCTTACAAAATTTTCCACACGTAAGTACATAATGTTCATTCAAATAATTTTTTACAGTACGGGGGTTTTGTGTAACATTCATTTATTATTATTATCATTCTTTTGGATGACTTTTTTCAGAGAGTAATATCCTGGGTGAACAGCTTTGAATTGGTTCATGAAACAAACCAAAAATGAATAGTTCAGGATTTTGAAATCACTGTATTTCTGTGAATTGTTGAGAAAATAATGAAACTTTGCAGCAAAACATTCTCTAGAAATATGTGTGACTTGGTTGATTGATCAGAAGCCGAAATATATTTTCCTAAAGAACTGAAGATTTCTGAAGTAGTGTGACTGTTCTGAAAACTGCAGGAAAATGTCTACCCACTCTAAATTTGGTATCGAGAATAAGGCGGTATAAAAAGGAAAGGAGAACACTACTCATATAATAACAATTTCATATCTTGCTGTCAATATGGATTTAGAAAAAAAAATCAATTGGAACTGCCACTAACTCAAGGAAATGAAATAAAGCTAATATATGATGATGTACCAATCCATTTCAGTCTTTGAGTAAGGGAGTATCTACCCAACTAGACTGGGAAGGTCCACCGTCATGGTCACCTAGGTCACCAGACCTAACCACTATAGATTTGGTTTTATGGGGGCATCTAAAGTTCCTGGCATATATAGGGTCTTCCAACAGGAACTTCCAATCTTTCACAATTGATAACGGCCATCTTATTGGAGGTACATCTGTCAAATTAGTTGTCATTTATTCAGTCTGTTTCGTCATTCATCATGGACGAATCATTCAACAACACGTGCAAGTGATGAAATTATTTTATCGAAACGGGTGCTCTGTTCATGTAACGTACCGCGCGCATCTCCCATTTATGGTCGCCATAATTGTCCTACTGAGCGGACTATTCTCAATGAGGTTAGTGAATTTGGGTCTACTAGTTCAGTAAACAATCGACCAACCCCGACATTGCCGCTGTCTGTGAGAGTGTCCAGGAGAATCCGAGGCAGTCGACTTCGTGTCGCTCACAAGAACTTGGCCTGTCGCAGACCACAGCTTGGCGAATTTGGCGTCCTGACTTGTGCCTGTACCCGTACAAAATTCAACTGACCCAGGAACTGAAGGTAAACAACCATAGACAACGGCGTGTGTTCGCTGATTGGGCTGTGGAGCAGTTGGCGACTGACCCTAAATTCCATCGAAAAACCATCTTCAGCGATGAGGTCCATTGCTGGATAAATGGGTATGTGAAAAATAAAATTGTAAAATTTGGGTCGATACCAATCCACATGAGACAAGAGCTCAAAGCTAACATAACCCATGCCATCGGTCAAATTCGGCCTGATTTATGCGCTAGAGTCATGGAAAATTGGATGTTTCGGATGAGATCCACCCAGAGAAGCTGTGGCGAACATTGGAAGGATGTTATATTCCACACATTATGGCATCAATAGGTCTTCCAAACGAATAAAAATTTTCAATGATTTTTCACACACACTTTCTATTATTCAAATTCAAAAATGGGAAGTGCTTATTGAAAGACCCGTCACAATCCCAGTATGACGTAAAGGACTTGAGAAACAGAATAATTGTTTGTTTGAAGGTGATTGACAATGTTTCGTGATGAATTTCACTAGTTCGGACTTCCATTGTCTACTATATAAAATGATTTGAAATCCCTGAAACAAGTGTTAGTGTTACCGGCTGCTCCGGTAACACTATCCGTAGCAGCCTCACGAAAATCAGGCCCCCAAACGCGGACTGCGATTCCAAGAATTGCATTTACCGGATACCCTGTGAGTGCGGAAAATCCTATATTGGTGAAACTAAGAGACCATTGAATGTTCGCATTGCCGAGCACAAGAAGCACACACAGCGAGGAGAAACCAGCAAATCAGGAATAGCAGACCATGTTCGGACCCATCAACACAACATCGAGTGGTCCCAAGCTGAGATCTTGCACAGAGAGGAACATTGGTTTAGGAGAAAATTTAAGGAAGCCGCATACATGTTGTCCAACAACGTATTCAGCCAGGCCAGCGTAGAAATACGAAACATATGGAAACCCATCATCAAACGAAAAATGGCCAACTCCCGCCAAAACGGTCATCTCTCACGGAATCAGTGAAGCGGAAAATGGAAAGCAGAGAAAGTGAAAGTATTTCAACGACCTATAAATAGTCATCTCTCGGAGGAATCAGTCCAGTCATCACCCGAAGACGATTGTAGATACCAACAATCGAAACGTCGTGAACTAATGTGACTTGGAATCTCTACACTTTTTTATTATTTTCTTTTTTCATTCCTTTAATTTTTATTTATTCAATTATTATGTTTTTACTTGTAGGTTATTTCACTATCATTTCATTTCAGGTTTATTGTTGCTTAATATAATTGTTATTTTCAACTATTCTTTTTTTAATCATTCCTTTTTACTTGTTTCAGGGATTTCAAATCATTTTATATAATAGACAATGGAAGTCCGAACTAGTGAAAGAATAATTGTTGTATGTAAAATCATAAGAGAGTCTACTATGAATATTTTTTGCCAATAACTTGACATTTAATGAGCATATTAATGATTTGAAAAAAACATATTTTTTTAAGTTGAAGTCTTTGCACCTGAAACATCTACTAGACGTAAATACTAAACTGAAATTGGTGAAAACGTATATATTTCCACAGGCACATATCTGTTGTTGAATTATAAATGGGTTGTGCTGGGGCTTTGGCTTTCAGCTAGTTGCCTGACAGTGAAAGCTACAGTTAAAAGACATCGAACGAATCTCATCGGTGGTCTATGTTGAAGGTTGACTTTGCAACTTACTGCCCCGGGTGTATTATGGTAGATATCAACAATTATTTCAGGAAAATTATGAGTTCAAATTGTTTTGGCTGATTATTGTACCTTCGTGTCCCTCAAATTGTCAATAATTGTTTAAAATGAATGTGAATATGAACATTATTTCGCTGATGATGCTCTAGTATCGGTTAATGATGAAGATATAGATAAAGCTATTGAAAAAATGAATGAAGCATTTCATAATATTGCTATATATTTAGAAACTGATAAATTGAAGCTAAATGTAAACAAAACAAAGGCTATGATACTTACTACACCGTTTAAATACAGAGAATTAGATTTGAATCAAATTGAAATAAAAATAAAAAAAAATAAAATTGAGCTCATTACTGGATTCAAATATCGAGGATTAATGTTAGACAATCATCTATCAATGAATAACAATTTCACCTACATACAGAAACAAATTTTGAAGAAATTATATTTTTTCACAAAAGTATCCCAATACTTAACTATGCAGTCACGGATAACTGTATATAAGACAATTATACAACCACATTTTGAATATTGTCCCACTTTTCTATACACAAGTGATTTGAATAAAATGAGAACACTACAAAAACTACAGAAACGCGCAATGAGGATTATTTTGAGATGTGACAGGAGTACCCATATAGCTTTAATGTTGAATACTCTAGAATGGTTATCTATAGAAAGTAGGCTTATATATTTAACGATGATTTATATTTACAAAATGTTACATAACCTTCTACCCTCATATTTTGACAAATTTGTAACTTTCAATAAACAAATCCACCAGTATAATACTAGAATAAAAAATAATTTGTATGTAAATAATCAAACAGAAACATTCAACACTAAAACATTAATGTTCAAGGGATTCATTAAGTATAACAGTCTACCTGAAAATGTAAAGTCTTCTAACAGTCTTATTCTGTTCAAAAGAAATTTATTAGACCATTTAAGAGACCATTAAGGTATTATGTGATATTTTTTATCTTTTATTTTTTTTTGATTTTCAATTATCGTAGGTAAAACAACTTATTAACAAATATAAGTAGATCTTTTTTGTATTATTGTATTTATATGTATATTAATGTTAACATTACTATCATTGTTGTATATTAGGATGTATCCTATTTGAATAAAGCATTTCATTTCATTTCAGAAATCGGAGGCTCCATATGAAGCATTTTTTCAACATGATAGCTTGGGAGCTTGATAGCTTCAAAAATATACGAGCTTACACATTTGTTTTTATTCCTTTGTTCAAAATATACTACAGTCAACTATCTGTTTCATTATTCCAGATCTGTTTTGATATGAAAACATTTTGTTTTAGAATTATGGAACCATTAGCTATTAGCAAGCTGACTTCCTACTTCACGCCGTCTCAAACCGAAATTAGTCGACATGATGCTTATTTGTACGCTGTTCTAGTGCTTTTCCTGAATGTGTTTTATGCAATTTACACACACAACTGTCTGTTATGGGCCAAGCAGTTGGGAATAGAAATCAAAACTGCATTCTCTTCTTTGCTTTACAGGTAGGAAATGACAAAAACATCAACCATGTAAGTGAATTGGAAAGCTATAATAAACAATAAATTAAAGAATAAGCGGATATTGAGGTCGTTAAAACACGCGCGGCTAGTATTTCAAAGACTTACGCTATTTTTTATTGGTTTCAAACATTATTGAGAGTGCCTCATTGATTTTCTAGAGTGTTGGTAGCATTAATTTGAACAACTTTTCATCTGATACGTTTTTCGGGCGTTGGTGAAAAATATAAATAGGAATAGACAAGTGAGATACTGCTGATAGTAGGTAGCAAAATGTTCTGTTCTTCCATAGCAAGAACACGGCTGGAGAGATTGCCACCAAATCTGCTGGATCGTAAGTGGCCTTGAATTCACTCTAGCTTTGCAGACTCAACTAACTTTTAGAAGACAACTGAAAATATCCAGAGATGTTTATAACTGATGTTACCGCCAGCATCAATATTTTTAGTCGAAATGCGGACACGTCGAGTATGAAAACGGAATACGATTTTGAACTGTTTGGTAAAGTTAAGTATCTCTTATACCTCATCTGTGGAGAAGCGACAGCTTCTTAGCGATAATGAAATTGACACTTGTCAGTCCTTGAAAACACAATTTGATATGTGGCTCATGGAAGTAGCGGCCTATTGAAAAACTATTTTGAATGATGAATTTCATTTAATCCCATTTCATTTCAATTCTGAAAAATCTTTACCTGTGAGGTATTTTTAGGTAGACCTCATTGGAAATACCAAAATCTCTACTTCTGAGGTATCTTTAGGTAGATCTTCATTGGAAATACCTAAAATAAATTGCAAGTGATGGCAGGAGAGTTAATAATTAATTCGATTGTTCTTATTCTTCTCGAATCTTCTTCTCGAGTAAAGTATTTTCAACTCAAGTAATTTGAAAACACTTATCAAACATCATTCCAGTACCAAAACTGAAACGCCTTTTAGTGTGATTCTTCTTCGCATATTCATAATATATAATTAACATGCCTAAAATAATCAAGATTATATAAAAAATATTATTTTGCAAATATTTCATTGTTACGATGGTGAATTTATAACATGCCACCTGTTGAATAACCGTTTGAGTGGACTGTATTTCCCGCGGAAATGAGTTTGAATGTTGTCTTTTTCTCAGGATTTTGTGAATGTACGAGCTTGATGAAGCAAATATTTCGTTGACTGCTCTACTCTTCCACATTCCCGAGCATTTGAAATGGAATATCATGTACGGGGTGCGCGCGATATATTATAAAGGCAAACACAGGAATACCGCGGTGTGAACATTAAAGATAAAAACAGAGCAAAGAAATGATAATGGAATTGAAAGTAACTTAGGTAATAGTAACTCGAAGGTACAAATCAATCAAACTTCTATTGGTACACCTGTTCTCAACAGGTAAAGAGTTTTCTCCCCTCTTCGTGTAAGATTAGTCTATATATTCTATTATCTATGCACCATAAGTCATTCAAATAGTAAATATCCAAAGAGCTCTTTGAAGATAGAAATTTGGTTAAATCTGTATTTGTTATTTCACTACATTATTTCGTCTAAAATGGCTTCACAGCAAAACGAGACATCTTTATCAAGCTATGACAATTTTTTCTGCGAGAGACAAGAAGAACATTGGTAAAATCTGTATTTGTCATTTCACTACATTATTTCGTCTAAAATGGCTTCACAGCAAAACGAGACATCTTTATCAAGCTATGACAATTTTTGCTGCGAGAGACAAGAAGAACTTCCGGTTGAAAATCTACCGGAAGATAATGAGCAGTTGGAACAAACGCTGGAGGAAGAAGAACAAACGCCGGAGGAAGAATATACAACAGCAGAAAGTGACAACATGGAAGAAGATACATATCAGGAACATGGTACAGAATATGTAGATTTCCATTCAATGTCTTACTATGAGAAGAGTGCAGTGTTAACTCTTCTTGAGTTCACGGGACATAAATTAGGAAATGAATTAGATCAGATCAGAATGTTTCAGGACGTATTGGAGGAACTTCGCGATATAAATGTAGAATTAGCTAAAACAATAGCGGAGAAGGAAGACGAAATCCGACGCATGATCGAATCAGACTTCGAAAATAATAACGTGATAGTGTAAAATTGATTCGTGTTTGACTGTTATTTTCTGGTGATCAAAGTAACTGTGTTTAATATTTTGTTATTTCTCGAAGTTATTATTCATGTGAGTTTGAAGTTGATTGATTATTAATAAACTTATGAAGTTAGATAGGTAGATTCTTATTTGCTTACGATTATACATCTGTGACAAGTCATAGACAGTTGGTACAATTTAGTATGCAACTAGAGAAAACAATATACAAAGTAGTTTCAAATATTAGTTTTGAGAGTGATTATTTACAAAATATTTAACAAATGTGAATCGATAGTATTGTAAAAAATCAAGGCTATTCAGTCTGAATATGTATATGAAATCAAGTACAGAATAAAAACAATTTCGTATAAGGAACTCTTTGATTTTCCTTTTGAACAAATTAAACTTCAGTTCAGTCACATTATATGGAGGTTTGTTAAATAATTTACCGTCCAGAGAATTCCGTTATGAAATTTCAAGATTAAATCTTGACTGTCTAAGTTGTCCCGCATTTTCAGTTTCATAATTATGATAATCCTAAGTGTTTGGAGAGTAGTATTTTGTTTTTATGCATCTCTTACAGTGAGTAGGAAATCAATATACAGGGCAAAGACATTATTCCCAATTTTCTAAAAAGTGTGCGTCGAATGGAGCTCCAGCTATAATTCTGATGGCTTTTTTCTGCATGTAAGTAGATCTACCCCAAAAGTTCAACTTCAGCTTTGATTATTGCTCTAGTACCAGAAGATATATTTATTTTCTGAGTTTTTTCCCTGTTAAGTTTCAGTTTATTGGATGTAAACTAGTATTCCGCTTTGTCTTCGGTTGCTTTGGCATTTACAAGGGAATGTGGGATATCAGAATTTGATTGTAACATTGTGCTGTCGTCCGCAAAGCAATTACTGTACTAGGTAAAAGGTAATGGAATATATCATTTTATAAATGACGGTTCACACAGTCAAAAGCTTTGCCCAGATCTCAATGTTAGAACCGTATGGTCTCCATTTTCTACGTTTCTAATCATCTGTCGGATGACTTCAAGTACTGTGTCGGTGATGGATCTATTTCTGATGAATCCAAATTGATGTTCATGTAGAGAATTGTGTTTATTCAGAAATAGGTATACTTGAAATAGGTCGGTTATTATCAAGTTAATTTGGGTCTCCTTTTTAATGGATAGGTATTACCTTGCTGATTTCAAATACATCCGGAAAATGTCCTTCACTGAAACAGCGATTTATGAGAACTGTTAGAGGTTCTACAAGAATGTTTATAGTTTCTTTGAGGATTCGACTGTTTAAATGATAAATGTCATCACAAGTTAAAAATAATACGTTTACTATTTACCACAAATCCACAAACAATATTCAGTTTCAATTTAAAAAAAGCTAGGTAAATGAAAGGTGAGAGTTCAGTTTTCTTTCGAAACCAGGAAGAGAGAAAATGGTCTTTCACCCAGACCCTTACTACAAAGTGAACTTGAAACTAAAATATACTTACTAACTAGTACCAGTGAACGGGAAGACGAGAGAAAAGCAAGAGAAAAATATATTAAAGAGGGAGAGAGAGATAAGATGGGAACCCTTTTTATAATTTATTTTCTAGGTAGATCTTCATTGGAAATACCTAAAAAAATTGTAAGTGATGGCAGGAGAGTTAATATTCAATTCGATAGTTCTTCTTTTTCTCAAGTAAAGTATTTTCAACTAGACAAACATCATTTCAGTACCAAAAGTGGAACGCCTTCTGGTGTGATTCTTCTTCGCATATTCATAATATATAATTAACATGCCTAAAATAATCAAGATCATATAAAAAATATATTTTGCAAATATTTCATTGTTACTGTGGTGAATTTATAACATGTCACCTGTTGAATAAGCATTTGAGTGGAATGTATTTCCCGCGGAAATGAGTTTGAATGTTGTCTTTTTCTCAGGATTTTGTGAATGTACGAGCGAGATAAAGCAAATATTTCGGCGACTGCTTTACTCTTCCACATTTCCGAGCATTTGAAATGAAATATCATGTACGAGGTGCGCGTGATATATCATAGAGGCAAACACAGGAATACCGCGGTGTGAACATTAAAGATGAAAAAAAAGAAATACCTTCAAAAACAGAGCAAGGAAATGATAATGGAATTGAAAGAGTAGTGAAGACGGAACACCAACTTCTCACACACCCTTGCTTTAAAAGTAACTTAGGTAATAGTGACTCAAAGGTACAAATTAATCAAACTTCTATTGGTACACTTGTTCTTAACAGGTAAAGAGTTTTCTCCCCTCTTCATATCAGATTAGTCTATATATTCTATTATCTATGCACCATAAGTCATTCAAATAGTAAATATTCAAATAGCTCTTTGGATTTGCGATATAAATTTGGTAAAATCTGTATTTGTTATTTCACTACATTATTTCGTCTAAAATGGCTTCACAGCAAAACGAGACATCTTTATCAAGCTATGACAATTTTTTCTGCGAGAGACAAGAAGAACTTCCGGTAGAAAATCCACCGGAAGAAAATGAGCAGTTTGAACAAACGCTGGAGGAAGAAGAACAAACGCCGGAGGAAGGAGATACAACAGCAGAAAGTGACAACATGGAAGAAGATACTTATCAGGAACATGGTACAGAATACGTAGATTTCCATTCAATGTCTTACTATGAGAAGAGTGCAGTGTTAACTCTTCTTGAGTTCACGGGACATAAATTAAGAAATGAATCAGATCAGATCAGATTGTTTCAAGAAGTATTGGAGGAAATTCGCGATATAAATGTAGAATTAGCTAAAACAATAGCGGAGAAGGAAGACGAAATCCGACACATGATCGAATCAGACTTCGAAAATAATAACGCAATAGTGGAAAATTGATTTGTGTTTGAATGTTATTTTCTGGTGATCAAAATAACTGAGTTTAATATTTTATTCTTTGTCGAAGTAATTGTTTATGTGAGTTTGAAGTTCATTGACGATTAATAAACTTATAAAGTTATCTGATGTGTTTGAAAATCGGTTGAAACCCATGTTAGTTTTTCGTTGAAAGAAGTAGAAAGCCCCATTATATTCCTTTAATTACTCTCATCTGCAGGAAGATCTGAATTGAAAATGTTATCTTTCAACTATTATTTTATAAATGAATGTATGAAAAAGACATAAAACTGTGGACATTCATTCGAAAAAGCTTACCAAATCGTTTCAAAATTGAACTGAATTGAGGAATATGACATGATTTTATTTTGAATTCTGTGTAACTATCGACCAGGAAATGATATTCTCTTTGATGCAGGTGAATATCATTTCGCAGGAACAAACTGTACAATTTGAATTAAAAGGCGTATTGTTTGGGGGATATTACTTTTTGGTAAAGAAAGGTTTTGGTCTTCTACTTCTCCATCTTTATACAAAAATAAAATGTGGGGATCTTCCAAAGAAAGGAAGAAAGCAACCAATTCAAAAAAAGTAACCCCTTACAAATCTGGAACTTTTCTTTCCCAACTGTACACTTTTTTGAACTTAATATTTTTTTATTAATCCAGAGCGACGTTCAGATTGAAGTCTTTTTTCGGCAAATTTGCAAACATACAAGTAATGGAATTCTTTTAGTCATGCCTTTATTCGAAGTAAAATTATTTTGGAAACCATTACACTATTATTGAATCTTTTTAACAGGAAAGCTCTGAAACTTACTCCGTCTGCCCTCGCCAACATATCTTTAGGTAATTTAGCGACACTAATAACGAAAGACGTTTACACATTTGAAGTGGCTATTTGGATGTTTAACGACATATGGAGTGGTCTTATGCAAACATGCGTCATCTGTTATTTGTTGTATATCAAAATTGGACCAGTTTCATTCCTTGGGATTGGTGTTATATTGAGTGCTATGCCACTACTTGGTGAGTATCCAAAATTTTTTTCCATTTCCATCTGAAGAGTGTGTTGAAAATAATTTCACTTTATTCTGGAAAACATTTTTTTGGTGTCCCATTCTTTTTGTGTTTTCTTAGTTCCTTTCTACTTTTTTGAGATCGATAGTGAGGTCACCAGTTTGTCAAATAAGTGATTTTTTGCTGGTATATTTTTGGAAACATTGTTTTTGACAGGTCACGCGTGAATCGTGTCTTGTTGTCATTGTCAAACTTATACAGTTTGGTCTATAATTTAACCATGAATTGACTTATGAATGAACAGCGCTTGCAAATTATTGAATTTCATTATCAAAATTGGCCTCCTAGATCGTGTGATTTAACGCCTTTGGATTATTTCTTGTGGAGTCATGTTGACGCTCATGTCTACAGGGATAAACCAGCAACGACTGACGCTCTGGAAGCCAATCTTGAAGCATTTATACATGAAATACCGGTCGATATGTTAGAGAGAGTGTGCCAAAATTGGACCTTGCGCATGGGCTATCTAAAGCGGAGCCGCGGACAACATTTGCATGAAATCACCTACAAACATTAAATTATATTGATCGTTTTATCGATTCCAATAAGAATTACATCAGTTTTTTCAAATTTTTTGTGTTGATTTGAAAATCAAATCCTATACCTTTTAAAAAATCACCCGTAACTGGAACAGTTTTTTTTCTCACTATTCAACGCTATATCCGTCATAAAACTGGATTTGCTTCTTATGGCAACTTTTTTATAAATCGTTTTTCATTTTCTCTGAAGTTCGAAACATCACGTTTAATTGTTTTTTTTTAGTGTTTCTGGGAAGATGGATCAGTAGGTTGAGGCTTGTTACAGGAAAAATGACAGATGAACGATTACAAAAAAGTCAAGAAGCCTTTTCCTTCATACGAATCATCAAAATGTATACATGGGAAAAGTTTTTCATTGAGAACATTAACCAGATTAGAAAGTGAGTACCGTAAAGCTACTTTGGAGGCCTTTTGTTAGCCCAAAAAATGAATCGTTCTATATAGAGCTATTTGTGGCACCATTTGTAATATTTTCGGCTGGTAGCATCTTTCTAGCTACCTGATAATGAAGTGATTTTTCTTTTAGCCGATAGGAAGCATCTCCGCAAGTTGTGTGACTATTGAAATCATCTGTGATTTTAACCTCCTGAACTTCTACCTGTGTAACACTTTTTGATGATCCATGTTGTGCTGTAGTCAGAATTGCGTGAGACACAATGTGCCTTTCTATTTCCATATCTCTTTAAATGTGTTCTGTTAACCTATAAAATACGATCTTCTTTGGTCCAGTTTGTCTGCCTGCTTCCAAACTCCTCACACTTGATATGACTTACTTAAGGTCTCTCAAAATCAAATGGAAACAAGTTCTTATAGAGTGAAAACAGTCATACAGTGTAGCAAACCTTCATCCACACAATCGAAGAACATTTTTTCAAAATTGTTAAAAAAGGCTTTGGAAAGCATAGAGCCGAATGTTCGGGATAATATTATGACTGGATTATAGCTGTAAACCAACCGATCAATAAGGTAGAGATTGTCAAGCTATTGCCATCAAACAATGCTTCTGTTGACCTGTTTTGATAGGGGAAACATTTATCCACCATCTCACGGAAAAAGACAAGGTGTTCAACCGCGAACAACAAAACGGCGAACACTAAAAGTCTCGACAGGAAGACGTATTTCTTCGCATGGTCTTCTTCAATACCGACAGAAACAGCAGAATTAAAAAGATGAGAAAAAGAAAGAGAAGGAAGCTCTGAAAAACCAGACTGAAATTGAAGAGAAAAAGAGGGAACTGCAGAAAAAGCAAAACAACTTAGATGAAAACAAAAAAGTCCAAAACAAATGTTCGAAGAAAAGAAGAGGTAAAAGAGCAGCAATCCTTTCATCAATAGATAATAATGATGATAATTTCAGCTTGGTGTCCTCAGGTCAGCGACCTGTTTTTTTCCAGCAGAGATGAAGATCCTCTTACTGTTGATGAACCAGTTTTTCAAAACAAAGCGGATAATTGAAGTGCTGAAGATGCAAGGGAAAGAAAGCAATGAAGATCTAAAGAAATCTGTAGAAAAGGACAATTTTGTTATTGTTTATTGCAATGGATTCCAATTTTTAGGGGTGGTGCTATCTGTGGGGGAGCGATAGAGCGATCAGAAAATCTTGGAAGTGGCCGAAAGAAAAGGACCTGTTATTTCATGAGTTGAATGACAAAAATTTAATTTCCCACCAAAGCTTGTGAAGGAGGGTATTTTTGGGGTTGATTCGTTTCAACATGATGAATAATTGTTGAAAGAAGTTGAACGCATTTGAACTTGCGTTTTTTTAGCACTTTGCTCTATGAAAATCTGTTCAACTCAATATTGAATGAAGTTTTATGCTGTTTTTTTGGGTTAAAACCTTCCACAATCTGGAAAAAAAAGATAAATCGAAAGGAAATCTGCTGAAGGGCAAACTGAAAAGTTCAACCCGAAAAGTTACTGCGTAAAATAAACTATTGGAAAGTTCAATTAGTCAGTTACTTGTCGTATTCACGAATTTTGCCTACAAATTATAATATTAACAAATTCTTTCGACACAAGTGAAAAAAATCATTAAAAAAATGAAACTATTTTTGTTTACCTTGTGTTTTCAAATATCTAGGCCCTTCTCTGTTCAGTGACAAATTGAAGAATTAACTTTCTCAAATAGATCCATTTCCAACAACATTTAACTAAGCACAAACTAATTTATTTATTGAAACACTCAGCAACTAACGCTTAATTTATTTCTACTATTTGAATGTATTGTTGAGCCGCTCGATTCACTTTCTGAACTGCCCTCTTGGGTCGTGAAGACGGGCTTATATCGGTACCGGTCCTTTCTAGAATTCTGTAGTCGGTTCGGTACTAGAATTTTACCGGCGATTCCCGACTGCATTCTTTCGCGATGATGTCATGTATTTGTTCCATTATTCGGCTGGCGTACTGGTCAGGGGCGGCTTCAGATTCGTTACAGTGCTATGCTTTTTCTAACAGAAAACTCTCTCAGGTCAAAGTTACCATATCCTCAGGGTAAAATGTGCCCAAAATAAAAAAAAAAAAATCAAAGAAAAATGAACAGATTCAAAAAGGGTGTGGCAGGTAAACATGATCTGTTCAGAGAGAAAATCGTTTAAAATTGTTGAAAAGTTTTTCAAACTAGCCCATGTTTACAGTAATAATTGTGATACTCATCAAATCAAAAATGTATATAAGAACATATGCTAGTTTGGCAGGAGTCATGATTAGAGAGAAAAAATTCCTGGCTGGAAGGCCATGGTACAATGAAATTTGTATCACCAAACGTTTCGTCTGCTACTGCGGCAGACATCTTCAGTGGAGTATACCCTGATTGCGAGGACGAAGGCAGTATCTCGAAGCCTCAACAACGAGTCACTGATAATCATTGCTGAGATTTGGAGATAATACCTCCGTAGAAAAATATGGTGTCTTTGTGAGAAAATTGTCATGAACTTTATTTTCTCGGGTTTGTCTTTCAGGAACCATTCCGTCCAGCCACCAGTACACTTAATGAAGTCCATGGTTGGTATTGGAATTTCGAATTCTTTGTTTTTGTGCTCTGGTTTTACTCCAAAAAGTAGCAGACACTTTTTTCAGTTGACGAATTTTCATTATCTGGAATAATATGATCAGTTTCTCTTTTGCCGATTTTTTAATTCGGAGTTTGTTTATTTATTGCTTGTTTTCAATGTCCTAACCTGTTTGCGAATCTTTTTTCTTGTACTAACTGCATGAATTTTTATTCTCCACAAAAAATAATCATTCATTCAATCATTCATAATCAATCATTCATTCATTGTACCCTAGAAAGTCTGTGATTCCTGGAGTTCTGTATCAAGTCTATTCTGGGCCGCCAATTTCCTCAGTTCTTGACGGAATTCCCAGACAGGTATCAATATCTCCCTTGGGTGGAATTCTGGCTCATAGTAATAAACAAATGATGATTTTGATAAAGTTGCGCTTGTGAACCATTACCAGTTCCTATTGTTTGCATAATTGATTACATTGATATAATTTCCAGGAAAGAAATGAAGAAACTCCTCATGAGTTCTTATTTGGCCGTCTGCCTAATCATCGTGGGAATTTTATTCTCCAGACTCGGTTTATATTCCCTTGTGATCTCTTATATATGGATGGGCTATTCGGTAAACACTGAGTTGATGTTCTATATCATTGCACTCTTCAAAGAACTGGAGTACAACTTGGGAGGCCTCATACCTTACAGTATGGGAAGAGCCGCAGAAGTGTATTCGGCACTCACTAGGATAAACACTGTGTTGACAGCCGAAGAACTACCTTCAAAAAGCAGTTCAAAAGCTGCCACAAGCGGTCCAATAGTGGAAGTTCGAGGAGCAAACGTTAATATAGGAAACAGTTTGATTTTAGAAGATATAACCTTCAGAACGACAGCTGGGTTGACTTTGGTTACGGGAAGTGTCGGGTCTGGTAAGAGCTCGCTATTGAAGACTTTGTTGCAGGATTATCCCCTTTCCAGCGGATATTTGATGACTTCAGGAAGGATTTCTTATGCGTCCCAGGATCCATGGCTGTTTCCGTCGACGATAAGGCAAAATATTCTATTTGGAGAAAATCTGAACGAGAAAAGGTAATAACTTTGGTATATTTTTGATTTCAGTTTCATTGTTAGAATATTTGAACAATATGCCTTGGGTTCAAACATCTATTCATCACTCAAACAGCTGAATACTGAATATACAGTCTTACCTCAAGCACTTCATCGAAACTTTTTACTAAACTTTGAACTCCCAACAACTTCTACTATATCGGAACTGAAGATCAGTGAAATCTTGACTGGAAAAAATGTTTTTATTTGAAACAGTGTTTTTCTCTGAAAGAGCTATTGGAAATTCTTCAATGTAATACAGTAAGGAGATTGAATTGATCATCTGTATATAGTGTAATGAATTAAAGAATTAACTGTCCTAATCAAATTTATTTTTAAGAATATTTCACTATCACAACTAATTTATATACAACACTTAGCAACTAACGCTTAATTTATTTTCACAGTTAGATTTCTTTCTTTAAACGCACGATTCACTTTCTAAGTACGGTCTACTGCTCGGAACGGAGAGCAGCCTTTTTATATCGTCAACGAACGCTCCGGATCTCTCTAGGGATTTCGGAACTGGCCTAGATTATTCGCGGTGGCTTATCGAGTGCATTTCCGATGAGTCATGCGTTTGCTCGCTGAGATATCGGTCAGGGCCGGCTTCAGATTCATTACAATAGATTGGTTGGATAAATCACTGAAAGCGCATCGAAAAGATCATTAATAATATTTCATTTCAATAGCGCTATCCATAAAATATTTTATTTCCGGTTTGATACTCCCTCATTTCACTTTACGGGGAGTTACATCAGGGTGTCTGGCAGGTCACAGTTCAGCTTTTCGAAAAAAAAAATCGTCCACCACTAACCTGTTTTATCATCTGATGCATTTGATTTTTTATAGGTATCAAGAGGTGATTCGAGTCTGCGCTTTGCAGTATGATTTGAATTTGTTCGATAATGGAGACGAGACAATTGTCAGTGACCGAGGTCTCAATCTTAGCAAGGGACAACAAGCCCGAATCAACCTCGCTAGAGCTATCTATAAAGACAGCGAAATCTACTTGTTGGACGATTCACTGACCGCATTGGATTCCCAAGTTCAAGATCACATCTTCAACGAGTGCATCAAAACCTTTTTGAAAAACAAAATCTGCATCATGGTAACTCAAAATGTTAAACATATGCAAGAAGCAGACGTGGTAGTGACAATGGAACACGGTCGAATACAGTCTTGTGGAAAACCAGACGTAAAAATTCTGGAAAAAATTAACGAGATGATCTCAAACGATACTGACTCCGATCAGGAGACTGAAACCAAGGATACAACTGACGGAGAAGAACGAAACGAGATCGAGGAAACACCATTGCTGGAGACCGAGCAAAATGCAGCCAAGAACATTTACAATGAAATGAAGAAGAAAGGACGAGTTGATTTTGAAAATTATAAAAAATATGTTATGTTTGGAGGTGGAGCTTTCCTAGTTGTGTTGAATTTGTTGCTATTCGCTGTCGGGCAGTTCTCAGATAGTTATTCTAGTCGATTGTTGGCCCACTGGTGAGTGAGTACTTACAATTGATAATATTCTGCTGAACTGTGTATTATTCTTCAACTCTATTTTTTTTGTTTCATCATTTTATTAAACATTTTAAAATTTTGATATTGATCTTTAGATTATTTTCTGAATTCGGAAGATAAATTGGTTATTTGATGAAAGATGATATCAAGATGAAAATCATTCAGAATATTTCAAAATCACAGAGGGCATGAAAAAATATTTCTCTACTTATGTACGCACGAGAGAAGTTAAAGTTAGTTTTTCATTAAATTATTTCTCGCTGTGATTTATTTAGTCATTTGTTTGAGTTTATTTATTTACATATAATGTCAAAAAGGTATTTCAGTGAATGATGTTAATGAATAGTACATACCGTCAACTAACCTCAAATTCTACAAACGTACTCAAAGTAATATGTGAAAACCACACATAATCACAATAAATTATCTTTGAATCAATGAATTGTTAATAAATATCAGTCTTCACGATATATTATTTAGAAAAATATATATTTATGTATANATTGGAAGGGCCAAAAAGCTCATTTTTTGAATTGGACTGTCACGTGTGATGAAAAGTGGATACTCTACAATAACAGGAGTCGTTCAGGGCCGTGGTTGGACACCGATGAGCCCCCCAGGCACTTCCCAAGGTGAAAACCTTCCAAAATAACGACTATTGTCACTGTATGGTGGTCAGCGACTGATGCGATTCGCTATAACTGTCTGCAACCAAGCCAAACCATGACCCCATCCTCTCACCAACCGACTCCCATCTTTTCAAGTACTTCCATAACTTTCTCACAGGTAGAACCTTCGCCAATAAGGACATGGCAAAAACGGATTTCGTCGACTTCATCGAATCCCGAGCAAACAATTTTTATACTGACGGAATTATTCGACTTGTGTTACGCCGACAAAAGTACAGTTCAAAACTTCTTGAAACAACCTGATAATAATGAATAAACACTTGAAATCACTATGGTTGATGTCTTTCACTTGTAGGGTTGATGAACAGCAGCACGTTATAGATCTTCAAAATGCCACCCTCGAAATGAATGACACAGGAAACAACACGACAATTCCGTTGAAAAATGATACCAGTTCTCTGAGTGAAGCTCTCAGAGAAAGCCAGTTCACGATTACTTTCTATTCAGTTACACTCCTCATCTCAGCTGTATTTCAATCTTTCAAAGCATTCGCGATTTTTAACTTTTGCAGAAAGGCATCTGTCAATGTTCATAAAACCATGATCAATAGCGTGATGAATGCTGTTATGGCATATTTTGATACACACCTTCTGGGGAATATTCTCAACAGATTTTCACAGGATATGAACAACATTGACGAACAGCTCTCATACAATTTGAGTGAAATTTTGAGGGTGAGTATGAACAAGTTTTTCATTTCTGAACTAAAAATGTGCCTTATGATATTCATATAAATATATAGGGGAGACCGGGGTTGGAAGTCACATTTTTTGTCTTTTGCATTTTTAGTGTCCTTTTTCATAAATTATCAATGATATGTTTATATCAATATATAGTGTTTTTATACTGTTTTGAAAAGAATTATTATTTTTTTCTCCAACATCACTCACAAAGAAAATATAACAAATTTTATGGAAAAGAAAAAATGTGACTTTTAACTCCAGTCCGGGGTTAAAAGTCCGGAAAACACATGACCAATATACTTATGAGACTCGACACAGATGCAGAAAAATTTACTTCCGCCGTCCGAAAAACACAAATGTACGTATCTCCTTCACACAGTATGAGCTTGAACTGAAGTGACGTTAGAATGGAGGAATTGCTCCTTTGATTTTGTTCGATAAACTCTTTCGTTCGTTCGATTTTTCAATATGGCCGCAGTGACAACCAACTCATGAGACAACCATACCTGGTCTCCCCTAGTAATCGAAAAGGTGAAAGAAAAGGAAAAATTTCAAAATACGATGGAAACATGAAGAACGGGAGATACAGCTACCAGGCTGGGTCATGGCCGGTGAGAAGCCCCTCCCTAAAGATGTCCAGTAGATATGTAGAAATCTGTTATCAGTCTGTGAGATTATTCGAGCCGTAAACATCCAAATCCAGGACCGTATTCAGTTAGTGATGGAGTTTGAAAGTAAATTGCATAAACACCGACTCAAACTTTATGCAGATGCGATTTCTCCCACCGGCCATGACTCAGTCCGGTCGCTGTGAAATTTTCTATTTTGAATTGAAAGGGTTATATTGTTAGGAGAGGTTAACTTTTGAGAAAAACATTTTTTGGTTTTCTACTTCCCCATCTTGATACAAAAAAATGTGGGAATCAACCAAAAAAAAGAAAGAAAATCAATTCCAATGGAAGTAACTTTATACAAAGATGTGTAGATCATGCAAAGATCTATGGCACCACTCCCGAGTATTGATGAAAACCATGCGATCAGGTTTGGTATTTTTTTAACAAAATTTGTATTTTCAGTCTTACCGAGCAACGTCTAAATTAGTAGCAAATTGCTAAAAACGACTCTCCTCGACGGAAGATTTCCTGACTGAATTCCTGACCATACTGGCCATGAGACTGCTGACTCCCTTGCAAAGAAGGGTGCTGCAAGCAGCTTCATCGGACCAGAACCTGTCATTGGCATCACTTTAGGCTTTGCCAAACAAAGACTGAACACCTGGCAAGAATATTCATAGAGTTCTGGCACAATCTTCCAGGATTGGCTCACTCCAAGGCGTTTATTCACCCTTCGAAGCTTGATACCAAACAGTTGTTGGACTACAGCAGGAATGAACTACGATGTCTAACAGGCCTTCTTACAGGTCACTGTATATCATCATATGCAGAAACTCGGACTGTCGATAGACAGTGTGTATTGCATCTGTCTGAAAAATGATGAGACAGGAGAGCACATACTTTTAGCCTGCCCCGCTAGGGACCCACTCACTTTGGCCCTAACCTAACCTAACCTTTTTCAGACATAAGTTGCGAGAAATGAGATAAAGATTGTAAACCGATGCAGATGTATATTTGAAAAACATTCTTCATTTTTATCAACATTTTCCAATAACGATTAGATTTTTTGACAAACTTGTCTACGACTTGAAGAATTTGGTAATCGAAAAATGCATTTCAAGTTTTAGTTTCATTCGAAATCCTCTACTAAAATTGATAATGACAGTTTGATTGTGAATGTAATAAGGGACAAGTATGCCATGAAAGTTTATATGCAACGCAGATAATATTGAATGATCATACCATGGGGTTTGTGAGATTCTTTTGTAACATACATGAATATCAAAGAATATCCGAAAGGTGTCAGTGCAAGGTTCTTCACTGGAGTTATTCTTGCATATACTGTTGGCAATAAAACTGCTGCAATAGATTTTCAATTATTGGAACACACATGCAGACCGATTTTGGGCTGTTTGGCCACTCGTCAGTGCTAGGTAGTATCTATCATCGACATAAAGTCGATGATTTCCGATAATTGAAAATCGAATTCCTTCAGAGTATCATTCCTCGAACTAGCCTGAAGCGGACGACAAACAACAGGTTTGTCATCGCCCCATCTGCCTGTGAACGAGGGAACCCACCGCATATCCAAAATTCACCCAATTCCTCGTATATGGAAAGAATTTAGAGTCAGTCTTCAAGTATGCTCACTGAATATACAATGTGAAGGTTTTTTATAATTCTCAGTGTAATTCAGTGGTTCTCTCATTTTCAATTGTAGACGAACTTCAATACTACATTATATGAGTTTCTTAATCGTATTTTCTAATAGTATTGGATCAAATGTTTGCTTCTGTTTTTGTCTAACACTTATTTTCAAACGACATTTGTTTCAGCCACTGAAGAAGTATTTCTCGTTGTGTAGTAGTGAAAATACCAAATTGATTATTATTTTTTTCAGTCTACCTTCTCAGCTCTAGGTATAGTAGTTCTGATAGTTATCGTCAACAAAAGATTCCTCATTTATGCTGGAATAATTTTTATATTTCTGATGATTCTGCGAAGATTATACCTACCAACAGGACGTAGTTTGAAAAGGTTGTCTTCATCAAGTGAGTAACGATTTCTATGACTTTTAGAACAGAAAGTGAACAATTATTTGTAAAAATAATGAAGCGGTGAAAAAAATGGGTTTTGTAGATATTTTTATTGAACCTTAGGTACAGGTTGACTTGTTGATTGAAAAAAAACCTATAAACATATTGTGATGAAGTAAAAAATTGTTGTTTTACTATTTTGGAAAGAGATGATACATAATTTTGCTTAATAGTAATCTGTATCTGATCACTTATAATATTCATTGAACTGGCCAGGAACTTTTTTGGAATTCAAAAATACAGTTCATTTTTATTTCAGCTCGGAGTCCCATTATGGGCCATCTGAACGCTTCTCTTGAAGGGCTGACCACGATCAGAGCTTACGGAGTTCAGGATATTCTGAAGGATGAATTCGACAGGCACACAGATTTGTTTACATCCACTCATTATATGACCCAATGTGCAACAAGAGCTTTTGGCTTTTCGATGAACATAGTCTGTACGCTACTAATCTGCATGGTTATTGTAACATTCATCTTCTTTGATACAGGTGAGAAAATTTATAAAAAAGGTACTTACGTCTCTAGCAATTCATATTTTTCACCATTATAAACGGAGTGGATACATGGATCAAGTCATGTCAATGAACAATCTGAAGACTATTTTGAGAATATTGTAAGCTCATGACACATGACACGGATTCCTAGAAATCCATATTGTCTCCAACCCTCTTTTTATTGTATATAAACGATTTAAACTTTGAAGAAAAGTTGGAGATTTGCCTCTCTTCTATAGAATAGAATGTGTCAAGCGACTTGATACATTCGATTCCATCAGGAGCAGTACATATTAGAAATACGCAAAGGACTGTGGCTGCTCATCATTTTGAGGTTCAACTTGAGACACCTCGAACTTCACTGTNGATTCCATCAGGAGCAGTACATATTAGAAATACGCGACGGACTGTGGCTGCTCATCATTTTGAGGTTCAACTTGGGACACCTCGAACTTCACTGTTTAAAAACTCTTTCATTTGGAGAACTAAACAACTTCACCGGCAGCAGGAGTTCCGCTTTCTGCTTTGATAAGTTTGTTGGGGGTTAAAATGGACACCAATATGTCTTGCACAGTCATGTCGCTGAAATTGCAGAGGCTGCTTCTCGAAAGCTTGGAACACTGTTCCGAACCAGAAAACTGTCCACACCTCAGCAACTTTTGATGCCACAGGAATAAAGCATAGATCAGACCTTCTTTGGAGTATTGTTCTCATATATGGAGTTCCGCCACTAGACATACCCCGAAGCTGCTGGATTCCACCCAGAAAAGAGCCATCCGCCTAATTGGAGACGCGAACATCACTTGCAACCGTGATAGTCTGGAACATCGAAGAAAGTTTGGGGATTTGTCTCTCTTCTATAGATACTTTCACGGAAGTGACTTGGCACATTCGATTCCATCAAGAGCGGTTCATATAAAAAATATGCGACGGAGTGTGGCTGGTCATCGTTTTGAGGTTCAACTCGGGGCACTTCAGATTTCACTGTTTAAGAACTCTTCCATTTGCGTTTATGTGTAATGAACTTCCTGGGAACGTTTTTCCAAATGGATTCAATCTCCAGAGTTTCAAATCCAATGTGAATCACTACTTTCGCACAGGCACCGCTCTTGGATCGCCTTAAGGATTTTTCTGTAGCGTTTTGTTTGAAAAAAAAACAAGTCACAGGGAGTAACTACATCATCACGCCATGATCAGCATCTAGGAATTTATCAGTGCTATAGCTTGCCTATCCCTACAGTGTTTTTGGGTGCTTATTTTCTTGAAACCGATGAAATGATGTAAAAATTAGGGGCTTGGCCACCCAACTCAGACTTTGTTATTGTTGAGCCGTACCAATCGAGCAATCAGTAACATATAAAACCACTTGTCCTACAGGCTAGTGATTTTATAATGCAGTTCATATAATCAAACAGTTTGCTTTCAATAATTGCACTTCAGAACAAATGTTCCTGTTGAAATTTCTTGTTATATTGGTAATAAAATTGATTTGATTCAAGATTTGATATTTTGTTCCTACATCGATGCATTCAGATTATGATATGTCAGTAAGTAATCTTTAGGAATATCACTCGACCAAAAAATGTCCCTAGATGATGTACGCTGTATGCTCAATAATTAGATGAATTTTCATTTATCTCAGACTTTTTCATTCAATCACCAATTTCTATTTCGTCCCCTCCAAAGTAGCTCTCTCAGATATAATACTCTTGTACCAAGCAGTTCTGATATGCACTTTTTGGTATATCCTTGAGCTCTCTCGGCGATTTGGTTTTCGTCTCCTCAATCGTCACAAAACGTCGTCTTTTCATGAGTTTTTTTATGGGTCTTCTATCCATTTATCGTGATGCAAAAGCCATGCATTGTTTTTACACAATACCGGACTTTTTCTACGGATTGCGTCTCGCAAGCCTCGCATAATTTAAAGAGAATACTTTTTATTGGCTTTTCGACCATGCGGAGAGACCTGATGCACTATGCCACGGTAATCGAAGGAAACAGTGGCAAACATTTATTCGAGCTTGGCATGCTTTTTTGGTTTTGTCTCTCCTGGCCTCTTCCATGACCAGCTATGACCCTTTTAAGTAGATAATGAGCGATACTCAGTTTTTTTGGATAACATTCAGCAATTTTCGAAGGAACTTTGCATGGTATGAGCTAACCGATATGCCGAGACCTCAGTTTTTTCAATATCGAAACTGTATCTGTATCTGTAGAGTAGGGAGGGTGAGTGTAAGCCCACAGCACTGAGGTCACAAGTGACCCATTGTACATTCCCCCGAGGAGTTGTCCTCCTAGGTCATCTTCCATCCTGTCCTTTCCAGGAAGGTGGACAGGTCACTGATATACATCTCCTTTATATCGGCAGGTGTAGGCCAAGACTCGCCGAACACAAACTCTCTTATTGACGATAACTCCGGGCACTCGCATAGGACATGCCTGACAGTCTCATCTTCCTGTTCACACATCCTGTCCAGCCGCTTCCTTGGCTAAAGAGTCGGCAATGCGATTACCTTCACTCCTGTCGTACCCTTTAAGCCACCTCAGGATAATGTTATTATCTACCGTGGCTTTGGCTAAATCTTGGTGATGCTCTAGTTCTAGTCCTGAGGTTATACGTTTCTGTTCAAGGCTAATAGAACTTGTCTGCTGTCAGTGCAGACACTGACTTACCTGGTTATTTTTTTTGTGGCCATTGAAATACCAGCCAGTTCTGTTTGGACCACGCTGGTATTTTTTGCCATTCCACACTTAACCTTAGGCTCAGTGATCTGGAGTACACTCCACATCCTGAGCCTTCTTTGGTTTTTGAGCCGTCTGTATATATACGTATTGCATTTGTAGCATCCGACTCTGTGTTCTGTTTTATTTGTATTTCGTAGGGTTTATTGAACACAAACCTGGGTTCAATTGCATCACTGGTTGCCTGCAGCAGAGCCTCAATTGACCCATACCTACTTCGAGGTTTACAGCAGCCGTCCGCAATCGTAACATGGCCATTAAAGCAACCTCCTCAACGTACAGGTCCAGAGGAGTCAGACCCGTAATTAATTCCATTGCCGATGTTGGTGATGTTCTCATGGCTCCTGTGATATTTAAACAAGCCAGTCGCTGTATTTAATACAATTTTTGGATGGCCGTTGTTTGTAGAACTTTCGTTCCCCATGCGATGGCTTCGTACGTTAACACAGGTCCTATCATTGCAGTATAGATCCAGTTGACCGACATTGTTCATAAGCTCTACTCTGTAGGTTAGAGTTTCATGTTAGCTTCCTGTCGAGGATAGTACTAAGATATTTCACCTCTTCAGGGAAGTTTAGCTTGCTTTTGAAAATTTCGAGAGGTTTTGAGCCCGATAAACTTCTTTTCCTGGTGTAAGGGACCATCTCAGTCTCCTTGGGATTGATCAACAGTGAGTGTTCCTCACATCATGTTTCTATAATTTGAGCCCATCCTGCGCTCTATCAGACAGTGCGTTCACAAATTTGCCGGTCTGCAAGGTAACTATGTCATCTGCATATACAATTGTGTAGAATCCATTATTGTTGGGGTGATTAATCAGGGTATCCAGAAGTATGCTCCAGGGAAGGGGTGATAAGACCCCTTCCTGTGGACATGCCCTCATGACTAGTCGTCTCGAAACATTATAATTGACCTAGATATCATCACATCACAAACCGATGCGCGACATCAATGAAAGGTTGCATTTCAGCTGAATAAGTATGTCTGAACTTTTGAATGGGTGAATTTTATAACAGATCAGGACCGATCACTAATTTTACGTGATCCAAAATCAGTCTATCGAGAGATGATTAAACTGAAAACTAATTATTTTCCAGATACTTCAGCTGGAGATGTCGGTCTGGCATTAACGCAAGTACTATATTTATCAGATGAAGTCCAGTGGGGAGTTCGAGTTTGGGCTGACCTCGAGAGTCTTATGACATCAGTTGAAAGGGTAATGGAATACACGGAAATCAAACCTGAGATAAAGGAGGGCCAAGAAATCGCAAACTGGCCTAATAAAGGAGCTGTGACCTATGAGAACGTGTCGCTGACCTACAACGACAACGAAATCGTTTTGAAAAATTTGAATTTCAAAATAGAACCCCACGAAAAAATCGGTATAGTTGGCAGAACTGGCGCGGGCAAGTCGTCAATTATAGCCTCCATTTTCAGACTGTATGAGTCTGAAGGAACCATCCTCATAGACGATGTAGATATAAAAACTGTGTCTCTGAAACTCCTGAGGAAGAAACTCGCAATCATCCCTCAAGACCCTGTTCTGTTCTCTGGTACAATCCGTACAAATCTCGATCCATTCAGGGAGTTTGAAGATGAACATCTGTGGAAAATCCTAAAGAAAGTCAACTTGCATGGCGTCGTTCCTAGCTTGTCATTGGAGGTTAGAGGCAACTCTTCGAATTTCAGCTCAGGCCAACGACAGCTCATTTGTTTGGCTAGGGCGATTTTGCGCGAAAGCAAAATCATCATTCTCGATGAAGCCACGGCCAACATGGACCAAGAGACGGATTCTTTGTTGTACAGTATTATAGAGGAGAACTTTTCCGATTGCACGGTGATAACTATCTCGCATAGGATCACTACTATTCTCAAGTGCGATAGGGTATTGGTTATGGACAGGGGTGAGGTAAAGCAGTATGATACCCCGTCGAATCTTTTGGAGAATGAAGATGGTATTTTTTATGGGCTTGTGAAACAAGCAGGTTCTCTTGACTATCTTTCATAATAAATTATTTCTCCATTCTAGTTGTTTCATTTCATCTTCAGTTCGAGAATACTGTTTACTTGAATATTTGGGAATGCTCAATCTCGATATTCGATCCGAAATAGAAAATGAACTTCCAACTTATTAGCTTTTGTACATGACAAGACTGTTTTGACACTGATAATTTTGTTACACTTCCTATGGACAACTTTGTATTTTTCGTTACAGTAATTCCTGAAATGTTCATAGTAGTTGGAATACTCCGAGAGCCGAATTCAGAATATACAGGGCTATTCAAATTCGTTTCTGTGTAAGGGGATCTCGTAAACGAGAGAGAGAAAGACTATCGGTTAAATTGTGGCAAAGTTGCATATTTCAGAGACCTATTCAATGATGTAACAAAATCGAATATGGCTCTTTTGGTTTTGGAGATATACAGGAAAAACCAAAAAATCCCAAATTATTTTTTCGCCTATATCTTCTTTATTCGCAGACATATTGAAAATTTGTCCACATTTTGCTATTGGTACTTGATGTGAGCTATCAGGATATGTCCATGAATCTTTTATATAGGGTGTCATCTGACTTGGGCCACCCCCATCTTTGAATTTTAAAATACGGACCTGTATTTTTGTTGTAGTTTTTGGATGGTAGACGTTCACTATTTGAATGATTTCGCAACAATGCAGCGAATAAGTGTATTAAGGGCAATGAATAATATGGAAAACCGAGTTTAAAAATGTCTCGAAATGAAAGGACTCCAATTCGAACATTTATTGCGCCAATAATTTTTTTTGGTACCTGTATAAATTACTTCATTACAATTTTCATTACAATTATAGTGTTCGTTTCGGATGTTATTAGTGCTATCATTTTTTTTTCTGCTCATTGAAATACATATAATACAACTCAGTCAACCAATTTCCAGGGCCGTAATTTAAAAGGGAATAATTCACATAATTATAATCAAATATTATCGAAACATCTCGAAATATAAAATTGAATTCAATTCCTCAGTATGCAGTGAACGTCGAGAATACAAAAACTACAACAAAAATTACAGGTCCGTATTTAAAAATTCAAAGATGCGGGTGGCCCAAGTCAGATGACACCCTGTATAAAAGATTCATGGACATATTCTGATAGCCCACATCAAGTGCCGATAGCAAAATGTGGATAGATTTTCAATATGTCTGCGAATAAAAAAGGAAATAATTTGGGATTTTTTGGATTTTCCTGTATATCTCCAGAACCAGAAGAGCTATATTCAATTTTTTCATATCATTGAATATGTCTCTGAAATTCGCAACTTTGTCACTATTTAACCGACATTCTATATCTTACCGTTTACGAGATCCCCTTGTACAGAAACAAATTTGAATAGCCCTGTATATTCAATAACAACAGAAAATATCGATGGATCTATTAATATACAGTGCAGTCAATTTAAAACAAGCCATCTTGAATAACTTTTGGTACAATGATTTGCAGGAAAACAAAAAAAACACGTCAACCATAGTATACAGGGACACATTTTGACATATTCACATTTGATGTTTCTTCCCCTATCGCACCCCAGAGCATGTCACCATTTTTTCAAATGGATCACCCTATATTGTCTCTCATTGTCAGATGCTCCATGCTGAGCAGATTTCAACAAAATATAAAACGTATGGTCTGAATCTTATGGTTCGGGAGCTACAAATTATTTGAGTTGAAAACGAGCCACCCTGAATGAACTTCTGTATAGTCTATCCATTCCCAATTGGAACGGCAATAAAAATAAAAAAAAACTTCAGGTATATAAACAGCTAACCCTTGTCTTTAGATTCAGTATCAATTTGCTCCTCCTGAAGATGCTAACCTTGTTAGCGAAACGCGCGTCGAGTGCAAACATATCAGTTTGGTGTTAGGGTAATTGATCTCTAGAAAAAGTTTTCAACTTTTACACCAAAGGTTCCAATCTCATCGTTTGAAACGATTTTTGTGAAAATCTAAGTGTCTTTTGGTACTTTCATCAATATAGCTTTCTGGAAACCTTTCGAAACAAATGATAATATTATGTGTGAGGAATCTATGTCAATCGACAGGGATCCGGAACTTGAAAATAGGGACTTGCATGTTCAAGTTCAGCGAGTAATTTTAAATATCCATGAATGCTTGAAGAAGGAAAACTGTCACACTTCACAGAATGCTATTGTGAATAGAATATGCGAGTTAACGAAACTATCTCGTTCGACAGTTCTTATAGTCATTAAAATAGGGGATGTCATTGACCCTGCAATGAAACGAAAACAAAGGAATACAAAATTCGCAAACGTTGATGGTGCTACAAAAGATGTGATTCGGCGAACAATTTATGGTATATACCTACCAAAAAAAAGAAGTGCCTACCAACCTTGGAAATGATTTGGTATAAATAACTTGACTATCCCGATTACAATTACAAATCTTCAGAAACTCTACGAGGTGTCTTATTGTCTTGTGGTTTCAAATATAAAAAATTGAACAATCGGATAGTTATAATGGAATCGACACGCATTATTCAACTACGACAAGAATATTTGAGGCGAATGAAAAGCTACCGAGAATCCAGCAGACATATAATCTACCTCGATGAAACTTGGTTTGACACCCATGATGTTGTCAAATATTTCTGGGTAGACGAAAGTATTGTGCTTTGAACACACCTTCTTCAAGGGGAAAACGTGTTATAATTTTGCATGCCGGGAATGAAAGTGGTTTCGTACCTAACGCTTTGCTTCTGTCGGCTAAAAATATAAAAGAGTCGTCTGCTGATTACCACGAAAATATGACTGCGGCTTTATTCGAAACCCGGTTCAGTGAGCAGCTTCTCCCGCATATTCCTCCAAACTCGCGGTTATTGTTATGGATAACGCTTCGTATTATTCTCGGTTATTGACTACAATACTAAACAATAACACAAAAAAGCAGATATTGTTGATTTCATGCGAAATCATGACATGGAAATATCCAACGAAAAAGGTATTACTGGCGACCATGAAACAACGTAATTTCAAAAAAGAGTACATTATTGATTCGATGTGTGAAACACGTGGTCATATTCTCTAACGTTTGCCTCCATACTATTGTGTGTTCAATCCAACTGAAATGGTTTGGGCCACAATGAAAGAAAGCTTGCGGAAATGTAATCACTCACCGACTTTGAATGCTGTGGTGCTTGGCGAGTGGTGAATGAAGTAGGTAATAGTGATGTGTGTGAGAACAGTGTTACTGTTGATAAATATCGTCCAAACGAGGTCTTACCTTTTAACGTGTGATTCCTAACACGGGTCGGACGATAGCAAGTGAAAATCGAGTATTCAGACTGGGGCTTGAACCACCGACCAGCACGGTAGTCAATTCGAGTGAGTGAACAAAGCACCCACGTCGAACCGCCTGGCTACCGACCGACCTTTACATTCTTTGAATATGCTGATAACATACTATACTATTTTGGTAATCAACTAAAATGGTGAAATACTGCAAAGTACTGCTGGATTGTGCATATTTACGAAGAAAAAATATATTGAGATTTCGCAGTAGATTATAGGAAACTGGAAATTCATTTGAAAGGAGATATTCATTCTTCACTGAAACGAACAAAAAAAATAAATTTATGATATTCATTCACCATTTCATTGCAAACATAATTTTTTTATGGATATGATAGAGTTAAATTGTCTTCATAGTTCGTTATATAGCATTTCTCCTTTCTTGAAGCGTTCTTGAACAATTCGAAGAGTGATTGCTGTGCTTCACATTTTTCTGGAACAACATTCATAAGATTGAATTGAAAGGATATGAATTACATTAGTTTGGACTTCCATTGTCTGATATTATATAAAATGATTTGAAATACCTGAAAGAACTAAAAAAAAAGAATGAAAAATATTAAAGAAGAAGATTATAATGACTGTCATCACCCGAAGACGATTGTAGAAACTAACAATCGAAACGTCGTGAAGTAACTTGGCTTGTATTTTAATTTTTTTTTGTACTTTTGTATCTTTATTTTTGTTCAATTTGTTCCATTTTTCACTTGTATTTTATTTCACTATTATTTCATTTCAGGTTTTTTTGCTTAATATAATTGTTATTTTCAGCTATTCGTTTATAATTTTCTTCTTTAATTTTTTTAATTCTTTTTTGTTTGAATCATTATATATGATATCAGACAATGGAAGTCCGAACTAATGTAATTCATTAATAATAATGATTTAGTAAGAATAATTTTTGGGAAAGGAGGGAAACTCCCACAATAATTTCAAACTATTAGGCTCTTTCAAGAATTTGGTCCGTTTGTATAAGTCTACTTCAAACTGTGACTTGTCAGTGGATACTTATTCAATTCAATCGGAATATGAGCCATTTGAATGAGTGCACTTTTGCAAATAAGTCGATTCACTCCGTCAGCATAAAAATTGGGTGCTCGGAATTCGATGAAGTCGACGAAGGCCATTTTTGCTTCGCCCTGATTGGCGAAAGTTCTACTGATGAGAAAGTAATAGAAGTGCTTAAAAAGATGGTAGTCGGTTGGCGAGAGGGCGGCGGAAGATGATTGATGAAACGTGCGGACGGGTGTTGTCGTGGAGCAGGACCAGACATCTTCTGTTGACTAGTGCCAGCTTCTGCTTACGCGATTTTCGGTGAACTTCATCGATTTCCCCACGATAGGACGCTACTTTGATGGTTTGGTTCGGTTCCAAAAAGTTATAGTGGATCTCACCATTCAGTATTCATGGTATTTTATGGGGGGTTATCGCGTTTGGGAAGTGCCTGGGTGGCTCATAGGTGTCCAACCACTATCCTGAGATTGTCTCCTGTTGTCGTACAGGATCCACTTTTCATCACACGTGATGATCTGATCCAAAAAAATATCGTTTTGGTTACGCAAAAGCAAGAAAGAACAGACCTCGGAAAGTAACGATTTCTGTAGATCATTCAAATCGTGGGGTGCTCACAGTTTTTGACCATTTCAATACGTGCTGAACCATTATGGGAGCTGACGCCCAA